CTCCCTTCTGCCGTATTTTGCGGCAAAATTATCCACACCCACCGCCGCGCTATGAATTGTGGGATATATGGGACCACGAAGCATGCACCGGACCACGCTTGATATTTTGGGGAAATCGCATTTGGAGTATGCTTTTGAAGTACACTTCGAATTGGGACAGCCGTCGTCGCGTGGCGGTGACGTAACCGCACTTGAAATGCGTACTTCAAGCGTGCAGACCCTGAATTGGGACACAGCCTCTGTGTATTTGCTGTAAACGGTATTCACACCTTGCTTTTCTCTGAACTACCAGAATTTAATCTTCCTACTGAGCTGTGTCCTGGCTCTGTGTATTTCCTGGGGTTAAGAACTATACAACTAAACAAAGGCTTGTGTATTTTCTGGAAATACATCAGCGCTTTCCTGAACTGTTAGTTTGTTTGTTACAGAGCTGTGTGAATCTCCCAGCTCGGTGTGTTTGCTGGAAACACTTTAAAAACCCACACACTCCACCCACTTCAGTTTCTCACCTCCGTGTATTTCCTGAATACCTGTCATTCTCCTGGGCAGCACAGCGTACCTGAGGCTTCTCCTTCCTTCTCTGCGAGTATCACCTGGAAACACCTTTGGGAACTACATCCTTGTTCCCCTGACAAACACTTCCTGGTGGTGCATTCAAGGACGCTTGGAGAGTTACCTGACAGAGTGTGTTCTGTGTTCGTTTCCTCCAAATAGACTGACTGAATCAAAGCCCTCGTGTCATTTGAGTCTCTTAGTCTTTGATTTTTATGTATTTGGGATCATTTTGAGTCTCCTCTGGTCTTTCTGTCCCTCTGTGGTTTACTGCGTCAGCGTGGTGGCCGGCCTGAGTGAAGATGATGTGATGCTATTGAAATGCATCCAAGATGAAGAAGAATTCAAATGTTGTTGGAAATATTTGAGATAATGGAAGCACAAAATATTCAACAACAGTTCGGTCGTTTTCAGAGATTTTAATGTGGGATTTTTTAAACATCTTTTACCCTTAATCTAAAACTTCTGTCAGTCTTTACGTCTCAGACAATTTCACATGAAAAATTATTCCTTTTTAAAAATCTCAGTCGCAGCCCAGCTGTTCAGAGAAAAGTCACGACCGTACGGTTGAGAGCGGCTGATCCTTTTTCCCAGAGAACGCCGCGGGATCTGCAGCTTGTTCCGAAAACACAAACAGCAAAACCTCCAAACGCCATCAAAGCCCCTGAAGGCCTCTTTAATCCCAGAGTTCCCGTTTTAACGCGACCATCGTCCTTCCTGACATGGCGTTCGCGTGCGGGGCGGCGTGCAGGTTTCTCCTCCTGTACTGTTCGATGATGCTTCGCTGGCTAATCTACTGCACAAACACGAGCGTTCAGCCACTCAGACACTAAACACTGAGCTATGAGACAGAAACTACAGTAAGTTATCTAAGCTGTGTGAGCTCGCTCGTGGCGGAGCGGCAGCTACTGCACATGGCAACCTTATGATACTGTAATGTGTAAGTTTACATTGTTTATACTGTTTGTTAAATGAAGATATTTATTGAGACAGAGGCAGGGCAGGAGTCAAAGGACTACATGAATGTTTTATCCACCCACCAGGTTAATCGTGAGTTCTGGTGCCATTATAACAGGAAATGATGGAAAGATAAGAAATAACGTCTAACTGACCAATAACAAAGCTGCTGTGTGTCTGCATGCCGCCTGTATTTAATGGATAGACCAATATGAACTTTGCATCATCATCATCATACAGTGATTATTAACATCTATATGTTTAAAAAAACATTTATTATACATTTTAATTCTGTGGATTTTCGTATTCGTCCACCTGAAAATGTCACGTTGAACCTGCATCGGCTGTTTATTAACGTTCACGTTTCTTTTATGCGTTAAAATTTTGTGAAGAATCTGAAAAAGCGCCGCAGAGCCGACCTTTAAATGTTGGTTTTTGAAATTCTAGGCTTTTATTCGGATGTTCCTCAGCACTAATTAGCTGATAATGCTAACACTGAGGGCTGAAAATGGTTACAAACATAAATTAGCACTTTGACAAAGAAAAGTAATGATGTTTAAATAAAGCTGAGTTCTATTACGAATATGAACAATATGAAAACTTTCTCTTCAGGCAATTAACAACAATTGATTGTGAATGTGGAGCTGCGGGTTTTGGTGCCGTTTCTCTCATCGATGGCCAAACTTGAAAACATTCATGTAGCCGCTCAGCTTCACAGACGCCTTCATCGAGTGAGTTAACCTGCACCAAACTCTCTCCTGTCGTGTTTCCAGGTGAAACACCTGACCCGTCCTGCAGCGAACGCAGGTTAAAACGCTGGAATAAAGCTGCTGTTCTGTGTGCAGATGCTTTCATGCAGAGTTCTGACATGGCGAGTCCTTCAGCAGGAGCTGAGGAGGCGTTGGGGAGAGAGCGGTGGGGATCACGGCTGGATGCTGAAGTCCGGCCGACATCTCGACGACTTTGTTCTCCAACAGTCGGGTCGTCTAGAAGCTCAGCACTGAAACGGAGGACAGTCGCTCACAGCGGCGGGTCGGCGGGATTGTTTGTTTCGGCTTCATGCGGGGCGGCACACACAGACAGGAAGAGCAGGAGGAGGAGGACATGCAGACCGGCGTGCGTGGAGCTGAGATCACTTACAGTCAACATCCAGGATGGCTCTGACAGTCCGAGTGAGCTCCTGCGCCTCCTGGGCGAGTGTGGCCGCCGTCCACGGGCTTTTCTTGTAGCGGGCAGCGAGACCTTGAGACGACACCCCGACTTTGACGTCTCCGGAGCTGCAAACAGAGACAAGGATGAGTCAGAGGTGAAGTAACAGAACGATCACTAACTCGGTCTGAGAGGACCTTGGTGGAGGTCGTCTGCAGCTGCAGAGCTCACAGAGGTCCTTTCATAACAAAATCTCAGGACAGAAAGCCCAGAGAGTGTCCCAAACAAACGACGAAGCCTCGGCAGGTCGTCCTCGCTGAGAGCACTGTGTTGCTTCAGGCTTCAAATACTTGGTTCGTTGAGTCGAGGGTGAAATGATTGGTTGTGTGATTGGCTGATCAGAGTCCCAGCATGGACTAAAACACAAACCAGCTGCTACCTTCTTCTTTTTCTCCGGCTTATTTCAGGTTTTTTTTCCTGATATTTACTCTGATTTTCTAAGAAAACTCACTGACAGCAGATAAAAAAACAAACTCAGTTTTCCTTCAATGCAAAAAGTTTTGATTGTAAAAGAAAAGATTAAACTTCACAAGCTGCAGGTTGTTTTCTCCCTGAGATCGCTGATCATGAGGAACTGACAGATCTGACCAGACAAAAGAAGCTGCACAGGCTTTGTATTAAATACATCTCAGGTATTTTCATTATGTTCTGGCACATTTAGGATTTCAGCTGAAAGCAGGACATCCATCCCAACTGTTTCGTTGCTCATACCGAGTCTACTAGCTTGTAGGTGGCTCTCAGCCCTACTTTAGCATTAGCTTCTTTTGAACGTCCATGTCAGCTGTGTGAAGGTGATTCAAGCGCCTCATCTGGTTTGTTGTTACGGACGTTTCCATGGTGTTCCACTGGTCTTTACTGACAGCGAGGAGCTTCCACGCTAACAGCGTGTTAGCATGTAGTTGTAAGTGTGTGACTTTTTACCTGCACTGCTGTGTGTGTGCTCAATATCAGACGTACGTGAGGCTGACCGAGTGGTGACCAATCAGGACCGATTCTGGTCCCAGTTGGTTGATCGGTGCACTCTTCAAACCCTGCAGACGCTGCGTGGACCAAACCGTCAGGTCACTTCCTGCCGTCTCACAGCGCTCTACTATCCTCCCCCCAGTATGAACCTGCTCCTCCGTCCTCAGGGACATTTCTTTCTGTCAGTACTGTGGCGCTGATGACTAACGACCTTAATAAGACTGATATTCATGATTCAGAAAGCCACTGAGTCGGCATCAATGAGCCTTTATTTCTGACTCAAACCTCACGCCTGCGTCTCTGAACGCACTCACAGAGGCGCCGGCTGACATTTTAGCTGCCTGGTGGCCCAGAAACAACCAGACAGGTGAATAAAAGGAAAGGCAGGGCCCGGTGGGGGGGGGGTGTCCCACGGTTATGAAAGATGAGTGGAGGTGTCCCACTGACCTGGACTGAAATAAAAGGAAGCAGGCAGGAGGTGTCCGAGCTGATAACCTGACCGAGTGACCCAATTCACTGAATCAGAGTTACACAAGCAGCCAGAAGGAGACGAGGAAACCACGATGAGGAGGTGATAAGAGGAAAACAGAAAGAGGAGGCAGGAGAAATCGAATAAACACTGAAGAAGAAGAAGAAGAGCTGGGGGGTTAAATTAACGCTGAGAGGAAAAGAAAAGGAAAGATGACAGTAATAAAGGGCACAAGGAAAGATGAAAGACAGCAAAGAAGGAAAGATAGAAAGAGAAATGGAACAAAAAAAATTAGAAAGACAAAGGAAAGACAAAGACTTAAGGAAAGTCAGAAATAAGGAAAATGGAAAGGAAGGAAAGATGGAGACTGATGGATGGAAATAAGGAGTGAGAGGAGGAGAAATCTGCAGAAAGAAAGGTTGTGAGGAAGGAGAGTTAAAATAGAAAAGACACGTACAAGATGAAAAAGGAAAGAACAAAAAAATAGAGGAAAAGGAAGGATAAAAGAATGGAAAGGATAATATGGGGAAGGAGAGAGGAAACAAGGATGAGAGTTAGAAAAATGAGGGAATTAGATCAGGAAGTGCTGTAACGTGTGACCTACTCGTCTTTGTTGGTGTCTTTGTGGAAGTTGATCAGATGATTGTTGATAACGAGCACAGAGTGACCTCACACACGCTCCTCATTTCATAACGCCGCCATCTCACCAGCGCTCACTGCGGGCGACCATTAACAGGAAGTAACTGCTGTCCTACCTGCACTGAAGTGGGTCAAGCTGGACCGCTGAGTGTGTGTGTGTGTGTGAGTGTGTGAGAGAGAGAGTGTGTGTGTGTGTGAGAGAGAGTGTGTGTGTGTGTGTGTGAGAGAGAGTGTGTGTGTGTGTGTGTGAGAGAGAGTGTGTGTGTGTGTGTGTGAGAAAGAGTGTGTGCGTGTGTGAGAGAGAGTGTGTGTGTGTGTGTGTGAGAGAGAGTGTGTGTGTGTGTGTAACCTGGGCTAATGGGCTCTGCTCTCAGCTGGATCATTACGTGACAGACTGAGGTGTCGGGGTCGCAGTCACAGTCTATTCACACACAGACACACACACACGCACACAGCAACCTGTAAACACACATTATTACATATACTGTGCACACACACGTGAGCTGTCCTGACGGGTCAAACTGAGCCGTGTGTTTGAAACTTGGTGAACTCAAGTTTCTCTTTCCACTGAACCACCCTGTTCAGGTAGGGACACACACACACACACACACACACACACACACACACACACACACTGATGTAAATTCACACACACAGTAATGAAACATACAGATGAAGGCTGCTTGTTTCTATAGCGACCGCTTTACCAGCTCACACTGAGCAGATTGACTCGTTAGGACGGCCACTGCGTCGCTAACGAACAGCAGGCTCTCAATTATCATCGAACACACAGGTTTGTGATTCAGCTGTCTTTGTGGGCACCCTGAGGACCATAATAATAATAATAATGATAATAATGATAATAATAATGATGATGATGCACTCTCAGGCTCTGTATAAGCCCATCTCAAGCAATGACAGCAGAAAGTCAATAAGATTCAGCGACTTTAATGTCAAAATAACCGATGAGAGAAACCAGGTGAGCAGAGGAAGTGATCAGCTGGTTGCTGGTCGTGGCTGATGGTTTGTCCTTAATGGACTTTCCAGGATGTGGTTGCCAAGGTAACCCTCTAACCTATTTAACATCTCCTCATATGTCTGTCAACAGCTTCTTAATCGCTCGCCACCTGTTAACTTCACATTGCCATTGACTCGTTGTCACTGACTCTCTGTGCTCTGGTCAGCACGTCACTGCAAACCTGCTGCACATTTACAGCATTACAGTTAGTACTGCACATACTGCAGTACATTAACATACACTACTCTTTTACCCATAGAGTTTACTGCAGTACTTTTGCTATAGTAAATTTACTGAATACTAACAGTGAAGTCCTTTATCACAGTGAGGACCTCACAAGGTGAAATATTTACAATGGTTCTCACAAGGATATATTTACAACACACACACACACACACACACACACACACACACACACTCTACCTGTAGCTCTTTGGGGGGCCGTGACTTTCGAGTAGGAACTCCTGAACATTCTGCAGAAACAAACAAACAAAAAAGAAGGTTGTTTGTTTTCTTCTTTGTCTTTTATTTTGTTTTCCAGCTGCACCAAAAACTTATTTCATAAACAGAAATAATCCTGCTGAAAACATCTTTTCATGTAAAACGTCTCCTCGGTATGAGAGTTATCTGAAGGCCATTATTTTCTCTGTCGACAGTCAACTGATGAAAGGATCTGATTTCAAACCCACAGCAGCAGCGAGCGCATCTCTTACTTCTCACTCTGTGATCTCCACTCAAAGCTCATCTGCTTTTAAAGATGACCTTTGCCATTTGGGCCAATGGGAGTCTTTCCCCTACAAACAATGACTGTGAATGAAACTATTTTTGAAAGTGTTGCTGTATCGTGATGTCTGAAAGCTGAAAAGTTTTACCTCCACAAAGCTCAGCAGTTTTCCCGTTGACATCTCGAAACCCTTTTTGGCCGCCTCGCTCTTCCGCAGCTGACACTCCAGGACGGCCGCTCTCTTCTTCAGCTCGTCCGACTCCTCCTGAGATCAAAAACATTCAGGTTCTGGACATTTATGATCTTTGTCTCCTTGCTTTTCCAGCTCCATATTTTTAATGCTAAACCCTAATGGAGTTTATTTATCTCGCGTTGGCCTGCGCTCATCCTCTGCATGTCTCTTTGCTCTGATTGGTCGACTTCTGGAAGTTCGTCGAGTACCATCTTTTCCGAAGTGACCCATGCACCGGACAGCCTGATGGGAATAGAGGACTGATTCCATCTGGGGTCACGTCTTGTGCACTTCCTGTTTCACATCTCGTCCTTTAAAGAAAGTAGTCCTTACTTCCTGCCCACAGTTTTTCCCACTGTGATTACCTGCTGAGCTACCCCCCTCGGGTGTCACCGCTTCCTCCCTGTCTGTTTAAATACTTTTGCATCAAGCTTCTCTTCAGTAAAACAAAAAGCTCATTTTTGGCTCCTGTTTCTGCTTTAACTGTAACTGGCTGTTACACGTCCAACCTTTTCAGTTCCCTTTCTCAGCGCTTTTTAAAACGATCATAAATATGTTAAATTAAAAGCAGTGGAGCCGGCGACCCTGAAACAGGTCATTTAACTGTAAATTAGTGTTCGATGAACTGGTTCACGGAGACTAAAGCAGACACCACAAACACAGACAGGAGCCAAAGAGGCCAAACATCTTACAAAAGTCTCATTTCCTGTGCTTGTCTTTGGTGCGTGACCAGTAAAAGCTGTTAATGAAAAGGAGGAGTGTTTGCATGCAGTCGTGCTCTGGCATTTGGACAAAAGCTCTTTGTTTCCAGTGTGAGCACTTTTGTTTCTTTCTGCAGACTTTTGTTTTGTGCCGATGGCTCAGAGAAACAACGCTGAGCGGATTTCTGCAAAGCTTACGTCAGAGAGGGAAGCGGCTCTGTCACCAAATACACCTGACCCACATTCAGGCCTGAAGACGAAACCAGGACCTGGAGCAGCAATAACCCGGCACCAAAAAGCCTGTATTTTTAATATTCCCCTTTCATTGTTCCCGTGTTGAGAGACAGAAGCCCAGGCTGCAAACATGCTGCACTAAAGTAATAGAAAAACCATTACATGACAGAAAGGTTGCTGTTTTTTCACTATCATCATAGAAATGTTTGATTTTACGATGACTCAGCGACGATCTTTGTGGTCTTGGGTCAATGGGTTTGCTTGGTGGCTGGTTGGACGGTGCAGTCAGCTGCCTTTCTGCTTCCTCATCCGTCCAGTTTTATAAATGTGCCACATAACTGAAGCTGAAAATGGTTTCACACATAATCTAGAGAAATAAAAGTACTTAGCTGACCGGGACTCTGCGGTAATCGTCAGAGAGCAGCTCTGCTCGGTGCCTACCGTGAACTGATCCATGTGGTGTGAGTCACCTTGTTGGCTGGTGCCTGGTGCTCCATCCTCTGAGTCTTCAGCTCTGCGATCTCAGCCTCCAGCAGGTGGATCACCTCCTCGTAGTCCATCTCCATCCCTCTGGCCTGCTTCTGGGCTGCCTCAGCCAGCTGGATTCGAGTCCTCAGAGCTCGGCTCTCCTCCGCGCTGTGTTTCACTTCCTGTCAGAAAGAGTGGAGGAAGAGGAGAGGGGGAGGATGGGGTAGAAGAAGAACCTGAGGGATTACTCAGTAGACTTTCAGTGGTGCTTTCAGGCCCTGCTCAGTGCTTTTGAGAGGCCTCCCAGGTGGTCGTGCCATGATTTGGGATTCGTGGTGTCAGGATGAGTTAGTGTGATGAGGCTCTTTGCTGTGGCCTCGGGGACGTTTCTCTGAATCAGCAGGTTGTGCAGTCGAGTCCCAGCAGGCCTGTCAGCGCTCAGCATACCTCTGTCTGTGATAAGGTTACCTACGGTTGGAGAGCAGCGTTATCATCAAAACAATAAAACAAACCTCCGTCTGGTGACAAAGATCGATCAAACTGTTGATGAACGCTCACGGCACTAAACCTTTATCTTGATTTTTACCAGCAGCTGACACCATGAATTGATCAGGAAAATGTGAAAGAGGTGAGCAAGGAATTTCTCACTGACATTAACCCCATCGTTAGAAATAATGCAGGTTTGAAGCATGTAATCATCGGCTTCACTTTGAGATCTGTAGGCTACAGCCAAGATCCAAAAGCCATGAAATCCAAGTAAACTAGCAGTGAACAGGAGAACGATAGAAACTCCAAAACAGGAAAGACTCCTTAGAAAGTCAGACTAAAGGACCAGATGAAGTCGAGACAAAATGAGGAGCAGAAAAATGGTTTTCAGTGTCTTTAAACTGACTTTAATGTGCACTCATTTTTATAAAACTAGGTTAAAATAAACCTCTAATCATTTAAAACAACACTGACACTTATAAACGTTCCATAAATGCAGTTTATGAGATGCTAATTCATTTTATTTATTTCACATCAACAGTCGGCTCAGGGCGCACTTTATTGTAAGCTAAAACCCCTATAGTAACACAGATAATCAGACAACCCCTGTGAGCAAGCACTTTGGCGACAGTGGGAAGGAAAAACTCCCTTTGAACAGGAAGAAACCTCCTGCAGAACCAGGCAGGAAAGCAGTCCTACATATTTGTGCATGAACTGCACTGAAGAACGTTTCCTGATCAAGGTCCCTCACAGTGTTACCAGAGGCCGATGACCATGCCCTCCAGAGTGAGCAGAATCTACCAGCCGTCAGCATCAGTAGACGTCATCCTCTGAGGACCATGAATGCCATTATAACATTTCATGACGGTGCATTGACCAGGTGATATTTCAGTGAGCACTGCAGTCGCTGTTAAGACTCAGACGTCTCTGTGCAGTCACACCGTCAGCATGAGTAATGCTTGAGCTAAAAATAAAACGACAGGTCATCGTCGCTTTTTGGCAGGTTGTTGTTGTTGGTGGAGTTTTTCTCGGAATGAGCTCTTATTGTTTGATTGTGTGATTTAAGAGCGCAGCCGGGCCCGACTGACTGGCTGGCGCTCTCTTACGTAACAATGCTGGAACAAAAACAAGACACAGAGCTTACTTCATGTCCTCATCTCACTCCTGGCTCATTATTTTTCAAAACGTCAGCACTGTGCCCGATCTGAACTCTGCAAAAACCACAAAGCCACATTCAGTCAGGTCAAAGTGAACAAGGCTGGGCTCTGTGGACCAGCAGCATTTTAAACACACACCTTTCACCAGCTCAGAGTGACGCTGACATGCTGCTCTGCAAACAAACATTTTTACTCCTGTGTCAAACAGAGTGTGAACGACAGCCGTGTAACAATGAGTCACCGATGTGTCTAAACCTGTTAGTTTCTCTACAGAATCAAAGCACAACAAATGCTCTCTCAATTTTAGTCATATTTCAGTTGCAGCTGGCAGCTTTTCATTCACAGTGAAGCCCAAACTCTTCGCCCACTTATCCACCTCCTGCAGCCATAGCTGGACTGGCCATCGGCCCACCGGGCATTTGCTCGGTGATTTGATTTTTTGTTTTTATGGGCCGATGATTTTTTATTTTATTTTATTTTTTTATAACAGTATAAACAGTGAAAGGTGGTGTATTGGCCAGATGCTGGCAGATGTGTAAAAATAACTCAGCTGTTTGGTGGTGGCTGTGGCGGAGCTTCCACAGAGGCCAGCAGGTGGATGAGGGGAGGGGAGGCAGGAGGAGCAGAGCCCCGAGGCGGTGAACTGAACTCCAGGTAAGAAGTTATGAGCTGCAGTCGATCTGGTCAGATATAAACCAAGTTTAGTTTATTTTCGTTGTGCTGACTTTTTACAGTCAGTTACAATAACTCGTACTGCTACTAGCTAGCATGACGGAGTTTCTATACAGCTGGGTGGTGCTATGATGTTACTGATAGTGAACTTTATTTAATTCATAATGTTAGTTAGTAGCTGCCAACCGTGCCTCTTCTCTCATCCTCTCCCCTCTCTCTCCTGTTCCTACTTCAATCATGAAACTGATCAATGATCAGCTGATCGGCTTTTCTCTCTTGTTTATTTATCGCCCACTTTGCGCCAGAAAGAGGAAACCAGCGGATGTAGCACTGAACAACAGCAGCACGTTTAAGCTTGATCAGCTGTTGTTAGAATTTATTTAATATTACTTTCTAGTATCAGCTGATGTTTGCTGGAGCCACAGCTGTAAAACTGCTGGTCATGATGTCGGTTTGGATATGTGGTGAGAGGGAAACATGAAGATGAAACCAGGAGATGTCCTTACTGAACCATCAGAGCTGAACAGGTGATGGAGAAACAGGTTTACCTTTTAGGTGACATGGATGAGTTGAAGTTATGAACTGTTTCTGAGAGACAAATAACACCAGCATCCTTTTCTAAGTAGCTGACAGCTGGTAACTGTGCAGGGGCGGGTCTAGCAAAGTGTTGCCAGGGGGCCAGGTAGGGCATTAACAGGGAGAGGGGGGCACAAAGACATACTTTCTTATTCTCATTTAAAATTTCTCGCTTTTATTAAATAATTATCTGAATCTTACAACCAAAGTTTTTATCTGATGTACAACATATAGAAATCATACATATACCAACAAGACTGTACATCACTGTCACCACAGCGTTTGCTTTCATTCAAAGGCTTTATAGTTTTTCCTGTAATACCTGGTGGGCTGGTCTCTAGTCAAAATGCCCGGGCCGATTTTTTGTCCCAGTCCAGCCCTGCCTGCAGCACTAAGAGTGAGATACGAGTAAGAGCTCACAGACCAGCTAAAGCACATCATTTCCTGCCCCAAGGCCAGTTGGACAAACACCACACCAACGAGGCACCCGGGAGGAACCCTGGTCAGACACCCAAACCACCTCCACTGACTGAAGTCCCAGAAATCCAAGCTACACCCTTCAGAGGAAGCTTGTATGTCACTGCTCTCAGCTTGTTGCTATAGGTGCAGAGTGCGCAGGCATCACCCCAACACTCGCCCGGGAAACCCCGAGACACTTAACCATTGCCAGAGTGGGCGCTCCACCTCTTCATGCTGACCACCGTGGCCTCAGACTTGGATGAAAACCATGAGAAATTTGGAGCTCCATGTTCGATAAAGCAAACAGGAGCACGTCACAACTCAAGCTATGCAGATGAATAAAAGCACTACAGGCCAGAGGGAAATATGTGCTGGCATACGGGCCCAGCTGGGCTTTGACCCCATGTGATCTTTGATGCAGAGGGAGAGCCAGTCTGTAGCGTGGAGGTTATGTAACTCTCAGGGCAGTGAAACAGACACCAGCAATAATTAGACACTCATAACTGGAAGCAACCACTCCCAGTACAGTTGGCACACTGGCAGCCAATAACCTGTAACCCTGCAGCGCTGAAATAAACGTCACACGGTAAACTGATCTTTGGTGGCACTAACAGATCAGAGTGAACACTGAGTTTTGTCACAACACTCAGTGCAACACGAACCAGGAAAGAAACACAGCAAGATTTCACCGAGGAGCATGCAAAACACCACGGGGGCCCAAAACTCCCCCTCATGTAAAGATACTCTCCACCATTTGACCTTAGAACTGAAGAAGCTTCTCGGATGAGAGGTGAAACGTCTTCAAGCAACTTAAAGAAGTCCAGACGCTTTTCTTTGCAAGCTCCTTTGAATACTCATGCAGGCAAAAAAGAAATATATTTATCTGCTATAATGAGAACAAATTGTCTGAAACTGAGGGTTTACTGAGCTCTGAGTGCCCACACACACACACATACAAACACAGACACACACACACAAACACACACAAACACACACAAACAAACACAAAAACACACACACAGAGAGAAAAACAAACAAAAAGCAGAGATTTTCTGTATATTCCTTTATATCAATCGTTAGCTTCATAGCATAAGTGCCTAAGTCATTTTTTTGTGTTTTGTGTTTCAGACGGACAGGATGATGCAGCAGTGGTAGGGGAGTAAAGTTAGGCAAAAATCTCAATTTGACCAAAAAATGACTTAGGCACTTATGCTATGAAGCTAACGATATTAATAAAAACACTATGTTGCATTTATATAAAACTCAATGCTTTTTTACACACACACACTCACACACACACACACACAGACACACACACACTCACACACACACACACACACACACACACACTCACACACACGCGCGCGCACACACATAGTGTGTGTCATCCATCTGTTACCTCCTATTTTCTCTAGTAATTAAAAAATCTGCAAACTGCCGTTTCAAGAATGAGGTTTATGTTCATGTCCATCACTCCAGCTCTGTGGGGACCAATCTCAGGTTTTAACCTTTGGAGCGAGGACATTAATGGAAAGTAGGGACATCAAGCAAAAGTAATGAATTGTTTTTTTTTCGTTGAATGGGGAAAGTTTTTTGGAAACTTTGAAAAAATGTCTTACTGGGAGACTTCAACGCTTATCTGGTCAACAACAGTGAGACATGTAGTGGCGTGACTGGGAGGAATGGCCTCCCAGGTCTGAACCCCAGTGGTGTTCTGGTACTGGATTCCCGTGCAAACCACAGTTTGTCCATAAAAACACCATGTTCAAACATAAAGGTGTCCATAAGTGCTCGTGGCACCAGGAAGCAGGTCAATTTTGAGATCGTATCATCATATTTGATTGCGATGGAAGGTGCCTGAACATGTGAGCACCTTTCCCATAAACACCTACTCGGATCGAGTCACCACAGCTCAACTCAGATCGAGTGATTTTACATTGCATACGACACGAACGCTACAACAAAGGTGGACATTGAGGCAAGAATATACCTGCTGCTCGGTCTGTGGCTTTTCCCCAGACTTGGGGACCATAGCGTCGTTTCTTGGAGCCATTTCCCTCATTGCCGGGTTTCAAAAATGGCAGTTTTGATTTTCATGAACGAGATGCTCTCATGACTTATTGAGTGAAAACTGTGGTGAACCGAGGAAAGTCAGTCCGAGTAGGGGAGACATGGGGACATTGAGTCTGAATGGACCGTGGTCAGCACCTACACTACTGAAGCTGCTGCACTGCGCTACGGCTACAAGGAGGTTGGTGCCTGTCATGGTGGTAACTCCCTCACAGGTGAGGGGAACGGCTGAAGAAGAAGCACTATCCCGCTGGGATACCCTGTGGGACTTTGGAGGCAGCCAATAGGTGCCAGCATGGCTGTGGACGTTTTAGGGCTGTAATGGTTGACACGCCTCTACAATATTGTGTGGAGATCAGGAGTGGTACCTCTGGATTGGCAGGCTGGGGTGGTGATCTTTAAGAAGTGGGACTGGAGGGTGTGTTCCATCTATAGGGGGATCACACACTTCTTTACCTGCCACTCCTTCAGTATATGAATAGTTACCTAAAATGAAACAACAGTGATAACTTTAAACTTTGTCACAACTGGAAAGGTCACATACATCGACTTAATTCAGCACATTACCTTCACACAGGAACTTCCAGGACTGAAATATAAACCCAACGTGGAATTACTCAAAAAAACTGCAGTTCCTCTGATGGCCAATTGAGTCTCCAACAACCCAGAGAGCAAGTGTCGGTCCACGCTCACTTCTATATATGGTCCAAATAACAACATTATTACTGCCAAAAGGCTAACGAGACCAAAACCAGTGGGTGATGTCATGGTGACTACATCCATCTTTTATATACAGGCCATGCTCACTCGCTGCCCTCATCATAAAGAACATAATTACTGGGTTTTCTTTACATGAAACCACGGTCCACGGGCAGGGTGACAACATCGCTGTGCATGAATGTCCTCGTTTAATAATGGAGTCCAACAGGAATGCAAGTCTTTTCTTTACTTTGTGCCTCTGGAGGACATCATTTACTGTAATTTGTGCTGCACAGTAGCGCGACACGCTGTCCAACAACACAGCACAAGTGTGACCATCAGAGCAGAGTGGCTCAGAACTGGGACACACTGGCTGGTAAAATTAGACTCCTGGATGGTTTCCAGTGTAGAGTGTCCACTAAGTGTGGAGATGAGGTGTGAGTGTGTGTTTGTGTGTGTGCCTGTGTGTGTGTGGTGTATGGTTTGGTAACTAATGGATCCCAGTGTGAGCTCTCTTCCCTCCAGCTGTGGCTTCATGGGGGCCCGAGGGGCTCTGAGAGGCCCCCCCCGTCTTAAAGGCTGACTTCCATCTCTAATGAAGGAGCATGTCAGCCCGCTCTCCTCCGCCCGCCTGCTCGCTCCCCAGAAAAGGCAGCATAATGGAAGAAAAATCCCTCGCTGTGCACAAGCTGTACAGCCTGGCAGCGCGCGGCGGAACAAAAGAGCAGCGGCCGGTCCCGCTTCTACCCAGACCAAAGGTTTTTGTGCTCCCTGAGAAACAACACTCACATTTGCACCGACGGCTGCTTCCTGCTTTGTTTGACTGTTATGTAATAATAACATAATTTCTCCATCTCGAAGCTGGAGGCTGCGCTGAAAGCTGTGGCAGAGCCGTTAAAATGCCACGCTCAGACAAAGGATATTAAAAGCACTTCAGCTTATTCAGGAGCACCAACGACTCACACCTCCAACGACTTTTACTGACAAGCAAACACAGTTTCCGAAACAGGCGGAACCTGGATCAGATTATAATAATAACAATAATGATGTCCAGGTGATTTATCTGCATGCAAACACAGTGTGAGTGTGGAAGGCTAAGTGACTCCAGCCTGGAAACCTGATCAAATCCTCCCTCAGACGATTAAAGGCTGTCAGCTTAATTCAGCTGTGCAGGTTTGTTAAATATGCAGGCAGCGCTGAAGCTGACAGTCGTGATCTGCGCCCTGATGTGACTGCAGGCAGCCAGGACATGTCTGAGCAGCTAACGTTGCTTAAAACCTGCTTTTATACCAGGACAGATGACAGAGACGCAAAGTAGACTTCAGAATATTTTAAAGTGTTCTTAGAGTTTGTGAGTCGATACAGTGCCTCTGCACCTCAGGTGCACACTGAAGTGGTACTGCATTCCTTCTGATGGTCAGCAGGGGGCGTTTCCCCTGGATGTTCATTAGCATGGTCAAAGTTTCTAATAATGAAGCCACAGGATGAACAGACTGCTCTGACACTCAGTTCCACACAGTGTTTTTACTCTTTTAACTGTATGATGTCATAGATGGGAGATATCCCAGGACCCACCCATTAGCGTTTTGTTCACAATGGGCGGGGCTAAAATAACCTGTTTCAGACAGAGGATGAACTGAGGGCCTGCACCAAGGCCCAGAATCACATAAGGAATGATTATTATGAACTGTGTGTCATGCAAAGCTGCTCTGGCAGAGTCCAAGAAGAAAAAGGTTTCACTATGAAAAAGCAAAGAATAGAAAAAGTCCAATGTCTGCAAACCTGCCAACACTCGGCGAGAAGCTAAAGGCGCGACAGCAGAGCAGGAAGTGAACGCTCAGCTCTGCGTCCTCCTCATTTCTGCTCCTCGGGTCTGAAACTCAGGTAAGGAAACGCCCCACCGGCCTTTGTTGTTATGGTGCACTTGTCGGCTAAATGTAGATATTGATTGATTTATGCAACCGAGCGGGAGCGAGAGAGGCCGAGACCCTTCAGCTCTGAATCACAACAAGCACAATGTGGGGAGGAGGAGGAGGAGGAGGAGGAGGAGCTATTCTAGAGCCCAAAATAAAAACAGATTCACCACGGGGCTCACAGTCCTCCCACACACACACACACACACACGCACACACACACGCACACACACACACACACACAC